GGCCAGGCCCTGGAAGCGTCCTCTCCCGCCACAGGTGAAGAGACCAAACCAGGGTTTCTGTGCTGGCCCAAGGCCCGGCTTCCCGGCCGGATTGGGAGCTGTCTGGCTCCCGCGTTAGCCACATTTTGTTTCCGCCTACGTGTTCCTCCAGATACAGATACTTATTTCTGGAAATGCTCTTATTAATGTACACAGCTTCTTGCAGCAGTGATATACGATCACGCTGCGCACAGGAGAGCAGCTTCAGATGCAGGAGTGAGGACAGGGCAGGGGTGGCCGGCTGCAGCCCGCCCCCGACCCCGCCTGGCTCGGGCCCTGAGCCTCTCGGCCTCGGGGGTCTCTGGCTGCACCCCTTCACCAGCGGTGCCTGCGGCTCTGTCATCAGCTACGTGAGGAACAGCGCTCCCCGGCCGGTGGGAGGCCACGGCCTTAGCCTCCCCCGTAGGAGGTGACGCTTGCTGGTGCTCCGGCGTCATTTCCTTCCCGGCAGGAAGATGACCCTGAACCTGTGACCTGCGTGGGCAGGTGCTGGGACCCTCGGTGGCGGCGGAAACACCAGGAGCCGGTCTGAAGGCCTGTGGCCTTTCCAGGCGCCAGGCCCATGCAGTTGGGGGGGGGCTCCTCCGCCGCCCCATCCTGCCCCAGGCTCACACCCTGCCTCTCCTGCCCCTCCGTCCTGGACGTTTCGGCCTTGGTCACCTCTGCTCTGCCCCATCCCCGCCGCAGCCGGCCAGAGCGGTCACGGGGGGCTGCCAGTGCCGGTCAGGTCCAACAGCCCCTCTGCACGCTTCCTCTCAGCCTTCGCCTCCCAGCCCCGAGGACGCCACGGCCTCTCCGTCATTTGATTGGCTTTGCTGCACCTCCCCACCCTCTCTGCCACGGCTGAGGGGTGTCCCGGTGTTCCCTGGCTGGGGACAGTGACCGACTGACAGGAGTCACCAGGCTGTTGATCTGGGGTGTGCCGGCTTAGTGTGTCACGGAGAAGGCGTTGCTGACGTAATCAGAGGTTTCCCGTGCGCTGCTTTGTGCCTTGTTCTCCCTGCGGGGTTGGAGGGCGGGAAGGGAGGTACCGTGAAGAGAGAGTGGGGGCGCCGCCGCCCGTCTCCTGGAGCAGCATGGGGAAGGGGCCTTCTGTCTCCGTCTCCGGGGGCAGCGAGTGACCCTGCCCTGAGAGCCAGAGGGAGCCCATTCTAGCGGGCTCCAGGCCGACTCGCCAGGACCAGAGTGGGAGGGAGGCCGCTTCCGTCCCCACCTGCTGTAGGGGCCCAGACCCGGCACAGCACCCCCTTTCCCGGCGGCCGGAGATGCCGTGGACGGCTGGCCGGACAGGCTCTTAGTCAGGTGCCCGGAAGCTCCCAAAGCAGGAGCGTTGGGAGACTCCTCTGAACCTAAATTCCGTTCCCCCAATGATGCTTATTAATACAGAAACCTGGCTGTGGAGTGACATTGCTTCCTAGGGAAGGATCGAGATTAATTGCACTTTTCATGCCCTGTACTTTCTGCATTACCTGTAATAATAATGTACATAGATTAGGTAGGGAGGATATTAAACAGAAGGATTTATGAACATTTGAATATTAAGTTGGTTATCTGTGGCTACCTTAAATGCCAGGTTGTCAAAAATAATTACAGTATACTAGCAAATACGGGCTACCAGAGACGATATAAATACCCTGAGTCAGTGCATATTGGGCTTTTGGCATGAATCATTTGCTCAACAAGGATTGGGGATACGTTCTTCACATTTATGAGGAGGAAATGAAAGAGAGCGCGGGGTGGGGGAAGGGAGAGGAACGGGCAGAATTGATGGTGTTGCCGATCCGCCGCGTGGAGCCCGGGCGGCGGCCGGCGCCGAGGGGCCACCCCAGGCCTGCAGGAAGCCGCGGAGGCACAAGCCCGCTTTGTATGCGCGGAGGGTTCTCTGGCGCCTCTTTTAATGGCCACACCGTGATGCTCTGGTTTTATGATCAGGGACATCTGTAGAGTGTGGAGGGTGAGGTCGCTAAGTGGTTGCGGTTGACTTCTGCAGAACGCCACTTGTCAAGTAGGAGACATTCGAGAAGGATATTGATGAATGCCCATCCATCTGCAGAGCGGGCAAACATGCCCAGTTGTTAATTTCTCAATGCAGAGAGCGGTGATGACATGGAAAAGCAACTGCCATGAAAAACAATTATGATAGATTAGATCAGGCGCCTCTGGAAGCAGCCGATCCGGGGGGTTGGGGTGACGGCCCGGGCCTGCCTGACGGGCGGAGGTGAGTCCTCGGGGTGGGGGCCCCACATGTCCCCGGCCCGGGGCCCCGCTTCCCCGAGACTGGCCACACGACGTGCCGTCCCTCGAAATCGCTGGCAGATACAACCGTCCCGAGCAGAGGACGCGGTCTCGTGGCACGCGGCCATGGAGACACCAGTCTCGGCTTGCGCGTGCCACTTTGCCCTTCCTGGCTGAGGAGTTTATGTGGAGCGTTTATTACAGTTTGTGTGCTTTTGGTTTGGGTTGCACGTATTAAAGCTACTTTTAATATTTTCGTTGGCGTGGTTTAGCTTTGTCACCCAAGCAAACCCAATTCCATTTCTGACCCGGAGGGGCCCGCCCCGCTGACGGCGTGCCAGGAACCCTCGTTCATCCAGCAAGCGGTGACCGAGCACTGTGCTGGGCTTGGGTTACAGTGGTCACGGGACAGCCTGGGGCCTCGTGGGGCGCAGCCTCCCGCCGGGAGACAGATCTCAGACAGAAAGCCTCCCAAATCTGCCTTCAGAAACGATATGAAGGAGTCCGGCGTCGGGAGGGAGGAGGTACAGAGGTCGGTTAGGTGATGACAACTCCCTGGATGGCTTCCCCAGACAGTGCTGGCACTGCGCAGAACGGGGGAGCCCCACAGGCACGCGGGTGGAGCTGTGAGCCCTTCTCCACGCAAGACAGAAAGGACGGCCTTGGGGGTTGCTGCCGAGGCCTGCCGCGCTGGGCGGGGCGCAGAGGGAACCCCGTCCCTGTCCTGACCGGGGGTGGGGTCAGGAGCCACGCACCTTCCCTTAACTGGAGGGGTGGGGGTCAGGGCCCCCAGCAGTACAGCGCAGGGCAGGTGTGTGCGGGGCTCGTCTGCAGCGAGGGGCGCGGGCCCGGCGCCCGGGCAGTTCAGGGCGCAGTGCCCTGGAGACAGGAAGTGCACGCCGCGGACGGCGTTCTGCGGCCGGGTCCTCTTGGAGCACGAGTCACGCCAGGGCGAGCTGCCCACTCGGCATGAGTTCAGGAAGCCGGGGCTTCACAGGGCCCCTCGCCAGCGACTGCGCTGGCGAGCAGAGGCGGGGCTCGCCCGGGAGCTGGTGGGGTCTCTGCTGGGTGGAGGGGCCCCCCACGCCAGCACAGGCGCCCTGCCGGGGCTCGGCCCTGCTCCCCTGGGCCCAGCACTGCCCGGCCCCCCTGCGTGTGGCAGCCGCCCTCCCTGGGTCGTGGGTGCCCCGCAGCACCGCCCCGGTGGCCAGGGGGCTCGTCCTGCTAAATAAGCAAGGCCACGGGGAGGGAGTGGTGTTGAGTGTTGAGGTTCCATGGTGGAACCCCCCGGGGGCCGCCCGCGTCCCTTTAGCCACGGGCACCCACCCTAACTACCCTGCGCGCGAGCGTGAAGTCCGCGTCTTCAAGCCAGGACGGCCAGCCCACCGCAGGCACGTTGGGATTAACTGTCGGTGTCTCTTTCCTCTCTCCAAGAGCCATTTAGGGAACGTGTTAGTGGACATGAAGCTCATTGACATCAAGGACACGCTGCCTGTGGGCTTCATCCCGATCCAGGAGACAGTGGACACACGTGAGTCGCCCCTCCTGTCCTTCTGCAGGGGTGCGCTGCTGCGCACTGTTCCTCGGAAGTGCCCCAGGAGGCTTCACTGTGCGCCCACGGACCGGCCCGGGCGCGGGGTGCCGGGGGTGCCGGGCGGACGAGCCGGTGCCCACGGAGGTGGCCCCTGCCCTGCGGCTCATGGGACGGGCGCCGGCGACAGTGGGGTGTGGCCCAGGCTCTGCGATTGCTGAGGGCAAGTTTGGCGCAAGACCCAGAAGCAAAAGTGGGGTTTGAAAAGTCAAAAGACACTTGGATCACATGTACGGTGAACCCCATTTTTGCCTCCTGGAGCCTGCAAGGAATGTCAGGACCCCCAGAGACCGCAAGTGAGAGCAGGCAGGACTGGACTCCAGCCACACGCTGTGACCAGCGCAACTGCGGGCCGCAGAGATGCGCTTGCAAATTGGGGGCGCTCTGCAGGACCCCGGGGTAGCCCAGATTCTTGCCAGCCACACGTGTCCGCTCCTCCACACCATCACGGCTGCTTCCGCACAGGGCGTGGATGTCAGGCGGGCAGCGTGGGCATGCGGCCAGGCCCGGAGACCCGAGTATGCGACCGGCCCCTGCGGGCTCCGGAGCTGCACCCCGACGCCGTTAAGTGACACGTGCTCCAGGGCCGGAAGCCTCTCCTGCGCTGGAGTGGAGCTCGTGGCGTTTCTGATTCACCCTTGGGCACCTCTCGCGGGGGCACAGCTGGCACCCACAGATGCAGGGCCCTGCCTCCGGCCACGCGCCCAGGGCCCTGCGCTCGCTGTTTCCCAGCTCAGGTCTCCTGCAGACCCCGGGGCTGTGAGTCGGCACAGAGCTGGTGCTTTCACCGAAAGGGGGCTCCGTGGTGCACCCGTGGAAGGGGGCTCCGTGGTGCACCCGTGGAAGGGGGCTCCGTGGTGCACCCGTGGAAGGGGGCTCCGTGGTGCACCCGTGGAAGGGGGCTCCGTGGTGCACCCGTGGAAGGGGGCTCCGTGGTGCACCATCCTTTCTGCGTAATAGTGTCCCCGCGGCTAGGCCTCGGGCCGCTTGCGGTGTGTGGTCGTTCTCTTTGCTGCTGATGGCCATAGTGGCTACGTGGCTCCTCGTTACCCGCCCCGGGGGGGCGCGTTACAGGCGGGGCTGATTCCGCTTCGTCTTCAGGAGACCCTGGTGTACTCACTACCAGTGTGAGGGAAACGAGGCACAGGGCTTAGGGGCGGAGGGGTGTATCCAGAGACAGGCAGAGCTGGGCGGGCCCAGAACACAGCGTCTCTCTGCAGCCCAGCCTCAGGCCGCCGTGTTTCGGCGCCTGTTGGTTTACACCCAGCGCTTCTTGGCAGTGACTTCGTTGAGCCGTACAGCCTACCCATTACAGGGAAGTGAGTGGCTTTTAGTCTGTTCACAGCTGCCCAGCCATGACCACAGTTCCTCACCCCTAAAAAGAAACCCCAACCTCAGCAGTCCCCTTCTTTCCCCTGAGCCCCACCCCCACCCCATCAGCCCTGGGCAGCCAGTCCTGAGTGCTCCTGGCCGCCGGCCCCGGGTGCTCCGGGCCGCCGAGGCCAGGGACACGCGGCTCCTGTGGGGTTTTCACGTGTCCGTGGCCGGTCCGCGCCGGAGCATGTGCCCCTACGCACTTCCCCTTCGTTGCCAAAAGGTGCCCCTCTCTGGATCCCGGGCACTTTGCCCCTCACCCAGGGGTGGGCTGCAGCCGGCTGCGGCTCGGCCCGGGGGGCCCTGCCTCGGCGTGGGATGGCTCTCAGATGCCGCCTCCAGCCTTCACTTCTTGGGGAGCCACCAGGCTGTTTGGAAGGGAGCGGCACGTAAGCAGCAGCTGGCTGAGAAGCCACCGACACCGGCCGTGGCCGTCTGCTCTTGACACCGGCCGTGGCCGTCCGCTCTTGGACCGCCTCAGTGGCGCCTCGCCGTGGCTGTCCTGAGCTGCGTCTCCCTGAGAGCTACCAAACGCTGGACATCTGTCTCGGTGCCCGATGGCCGTTTGCTTTTCTGGAGAAGGGTCAGTTCTGATCCTCTGCCCACTTTTAAGTTGGGTTGTCTCTATTTTTGAGTCATAAAAATATTTTGCTGTATTCTGGCTGTATGTCCTTTATCAGTTATATGATTTTGCAGCAAGTGGCTCGCTCCTGTGGATTTTCTTTTCCACCTTGTTCATGGTGTTCTTGGGAAAGTTTTCAACTGGAGTCGCTGGAGTTCTGTTGATCTATTTTTTCCCTTTGTGTCTTTGGTGTCGTATCTGAAGAGCTTCGTCTAATCCACGGTCACCAGACTTTCTAGCCTCACACTCCCGCCTTCGGTCCGGCCTTGTTCTTTGGCCTGGGGCTTTCTGGCTGCCCAGGACCCCTTGCTGAAGAGACGTCTTCCCCAGTGCGTTTTCTTGTCATTGTGCTCAAAACTCAGTTGAACTTGGCGAGGAAGGCTTGTTTCTGGACTCCGAGCTCTCCTCCAGCAATGTTCCATCTCTCCTATGTCAGAGCTGCAGTCTCGGTTTCTGTAGCTTTCTGGCGAGCTTGGCACCAGGGCAATGCGTCTTTCCACTTGGGCTCCTTCAGGATCGTGGCTCTACTGTGTCCCTGGAGTTTCCATCTTCATTCCAGGGTAGTCGGGTGTTGTCAAGAAGCCGAGGGTCTTGATCGGAGTGGTATGGAGTCCTTAGCTCGGCCTGGGCGCAGGTTTTCAATGACGCCCTTATGATAAGTGTCTGAGTTGGGGGGCTGGGCCTTCGGTCTCCACATGTGCCCCCGACCTGCCCCTGTGCGGGAACAGGAACACCCCCCAGCTGCCAGCACTCTGCCTTCCTCCTGTTCCTTTCTTTTCTGACTCACATTTGCTCTGTTATCTTCTCTGCCCGAATTGTCCTTTCCTTCAACCCCGAACATCCACGCCAGGGTCCTGCGTTCTCACTGCATGAAGCCGTGTCTGATCGCTCACCACCAGTCTGAGGCCGGCTCTCCCTCCTCCCCACTGTCAGCTCAGACTGTCAGCTCAGTCTCCTGTAGGAATTGCAGGCTGCAGCTATAAGGGGGATCAGTACAGCCCCTTCCCTCCAGGAACCTAGTCTGGCGTGTGGCCTGGACCACACCAGGCAGGGCTGGGGCTCTTTGGGGCCCAGGGGCGCCGTCTGCTCCCTTCGCTGCTCCCGTCACACCTGGTAAGCACACGCGTGTTGAAAGAAGTGGCGGAGATCAGCCGGGGCAAGTTACAGAGACGGAGGGGCCCATCCGCCTCTGAATCCCCACCTTTACCTGCCAGAACAAACTCAGAGTGGCATGTTGGGAATCACAGGGGTGCTGATGGCAAATGTGGAGTGTGGCCTGCCGCTGGCAGCCATGACCCCCCTGCATCATCCGCCCCCTCCCCCGTGCCTTCATCTGCCGGACCTCAGGTTCCGCATCTGCGCAGCGGAAACACCGCCTGCCTCGTGATGGTGTTCTGGGTTTGGTTGTCGTGTTTACGTGTTCTCTTTACGTCTTCGAGGGACGATCCCGGCTTAATTCCTCTCTGACTCACGAAGTCACCCACCTGCACAGGACCTTGCTCAGAAGATGGGCCCCATAAAGATAAGCTTTATTACTCTCTCTTGCCGGATTAACTTCCAGAAATACAAATTCATGTGCCACTAATGATGCGGGCTTGTACCTGTTTCCACAGGCCTGCCAGCAGGGGTTTTAAAATTTTTATTTAGTTTTACTATTCTAATTTTATCTAATTGTCGCTTCATTATTTATTAGCAAGACTGAACATCCCTACAAGCATCTGCTTGCCGCCGTGGCTTGTTCTTGTAGACTTGGCTGCTGAAGAACTGCAGTGGCCTGGTAGATTTGGATTCATTTCCCACTTTCCCCCCGTGTTTTTCTGTGTCTTAAAATCTGCACTGGTGTTCATTTTTGACAACTAATTGAATTCTAATGTCTTTATATCCACACACCATGCAGGCAGCAGGGGCTTCTCCTTTTGCATTTTCCTCTCGGGTTGTTGGACTCGTGAAGGGAGGACGCCCCGGGGCTGAGTCCCTACCTGGGCCTGGAGTCTTGCTGAGGGGTGACCCCGGGCAGGTGATCACCCCCACCTGTGACTGGGGCACGTGGTTCCTCCCCCTGGACATTCTGGAGTTGGGTCTGAGCACCCCCAGCGGACAGTGGGTTGAGGTCACCTGTGCGCTCTGGGTCGCACGACCATTCCCGGACCCCGCCCCTAGAGACAGGTGGGCCCGAGACCTCCCACCAGACAGGTCAGCTCTGTGTGGTGTGAGCGTACACAGGGCCCTAGTTTCATGAAGTTGTCCCCAAAAAGATGAGACTCTGTAATTAATTTAAAAGACAGTTTGTTTCAACCCATAGAGATCTTAAAAGCCCTTAAAAGCTGTGCCACTGTTTGTTCAGCGAAGTGCTGGGCCCGTCTTGTGCTCGTTAGCGTGACCAAGCACGTAGCCATTGGTTCTGCATGTTTACTTAAAGCCAGAGATGGAGGGAGGGACGAATCGGCGTGGCTCCCCTTCACGGAAGGCCTCGCCACCTTCACACCTTCAAGGTCCGGCCTGGTCAGCTGCTCACACACTCCCCCCGGGACACACTCCAGCCTGGATCGGCTTAATGCTTGGGGCCTGGAGCGGGACAGAATCACGCACGGCTTGTCTATCGGATGTGGCCTCGGTTTCCTTACCTGGCATAAGAACCTGCAGAGACTGAGTCTCCACCTCGCTCTGTAAAAAACCACCCCCCAGAATGCCAAAAGAGCACCAGGGGTCATCCCTCGGGTCACTTTGAGAGCAGCAGAGAAGGCCCTTCCTCGTCGCCCTGCCCCTGACTCGAATGTGCTTATCTACTGAAATCCCTGACGGTCGCCGACAGAAGTCGTCCAGCCACGACCGAACACTGGTGCTGTTCTCACCGGCACGGGCCGTGGGCCAGGCACCGGGCCAAGGGAAGCCAGTGCACAGGCCGTGCCGTCACCGACGGCCCACGCCCCGGGCTGGGGCTTCCTTCGCCGGGTAGCGAGGCTCAGTGCAATAGTCCCTGCCAAGCAAACAGCAGAGTAGGGATTTCAACCCAGATCTGGGTAGCCCATGTGATTCGGTGGTGTCCCTTGCCCGAAACCCATGTTCAAAGTCCACACGCGGAAGCAAGCCCCGGGCTGGCCCCCCCTGGCGGTGCTGGGGCCCCGGCTCGCTCACGGAGACCTGGGCACAAGGGAAGACCCGAGCCTCGTCCTTCCTCTAGCTCAGAGAGGCCGGGAGCCGGAGTCGCGGGGAGGGCTCAGGCCCTCCGCGAGGCCGGGAGCCGGAGTCGCGTGGGGTCCGCGCATGAGCGCGGAGGGCGCCGGGAGTCGCTGCGCTGAACCGTTGCTGGAGGGTGGCCGTCGGGAGCCATCGCCAGGAGGTGAACTGCTCCCGGGGAGCTTGATAGCCGATACCACCAGCACCCCGGGAGCGCACCCCGGACCCTGGCGGGAGCTGGACACCCAGACAACGGCGAGCACCCCCTGTGGCGACAGGGTACAGTCTCACCTGGACCGAACCCGACCTTTCGCTTTGCCAGTCTCAGGGGAAGTGACACCGTTTCTCCAGTCTGTCAACACCCTGAAGGAAAAGGCAGGGTGGTCAAGCGTCACAGAATGGGAGGGCCTCACGCGGGAGCCCGCCCACCCTGTCCAGGGCGACGATGTTTGGATCTTGAGCCAGAAAAAACAAGTCACACAGCTTTACCTGGCGGTCAGCCAGAGTAACCTGAGCCTTGCTGTCCCATTGGAGGGTTTTAAGGGCGCGTCCCTCGCCCGAGGACGGCGGTGGCCCAGTGGTCACGTCCCGGCGTCTGGTGCTGGTGGCCAGGGCCACAGGAGGCCGCACGTCATGGTGCTGGGGTCTACTTAAATCCTCCAGCAAAGGTCCATGGAAACTGGTGTGTCTGTGGGTGCCAGAGCGGATGACAGGCCGTGTGGAGTCGCTCTGCTATTCCTGCTGCGCTAGGGAGGGCTGAGAATACCTGTGATCAAAGAGGGAAAAAGAACATTTGATCCAGCCTGCTGGTGGTGCCCAGAGTATCCGAGTCTGCGCCGGGAGGCTGGAGCGGGGAAGCCAGCCCGCAGGTGTGCCCAGCCTGCTTCTCCCTGCCCGGGCCTGCGGGCACCTGCCGGGCGGCGTGTGGGGGCACCTGGGTGCCAGGGACGCCGGCAGGGTCCCAAGGCGGGGCAGGTGCCGGTCACTCCTGCTGCTGGGTGGGAGGGGACGGCAGGCAGGGGTCAGAGCAGAGGGAGGGCAGCGCGGGAGGACTCATGCCTGTTCTTGTCCTTCCCTTCAGAGGAAGTGGCTTTTAGGAAGAAGAGGCTGTGCATCAAATTTATCCCACGGGATTCAACCGAAGCTGCGATTTGTGACATTCGGATCATGGGCCGGACCAAGCAAGCCCCTCCTCAGTACACCTTCATTGGGTAAGTCTGCTCCTCACGGCTGTCGTCTCTCCCGGCCCCAAGTGCTCGGCCGCCCCGCATCGGTCCTGAGACTTTCTTTGGGGCCCACGGGGCTCTCGGCTGTGGCCTCCACGGCCCGGGCCACACACCCTGTGGCCAGCCCAAAGCGCTGGCCGCCGAGCACGGAGCCTTGTGCACACTCCTGCCTGCCCCTCCTGGCCGTGCTTCCCCGTGCTCTGGGGTGTGCACCCTCCGGGACCTTTCCAGACGCCTGACAGCCAAGCCCCCACCCCTGTGACCAGCAGCCCCCACCTCTCTGTGCAGCTTCTGGACCCCCTAAACTGTGTGGAGCACACCCACATTGCCCGCTGGGCCACAGAGCCCGGCCAGGCAGCGGTGGTGGCCGGGGCCCCGCCTGGAGAGCTGGTGCTCCCAGAGCGAGGACAGGCCGCGCGCGTGAGCCTGATACGCTGGCGGGGGAGCCCGTGTCAGGGAGACGCCAGCCACGCCTGCCTTGGTGGAGCCTCCGTGGCCGGGAGCAGCAGGCAGCCGGCGGGGCCGGGCGGGGCCAGTGGAGGCGTCGGGCAGCAGAGGGGGCCGTGGCCAGGGCCCCCTTTGGGATTTAGGTCGCCCTGCGGGTGCCGGGAAGCCAGCACGGGTGCAGGTCAGGAGGAAGGTGGAGCCCCGTGACCCCACGATTCCTCGAACGGCTTCGCGGTCGGACGGCCCTCCCGGCAGCAGCGGCCACCGGTCCGTGTCTGCTCGCCCAGAGCCTCAGTGCTGGGCAACGGCCACTCTGGAGCTGTTTCATAAACGCGGCGCCTCGGCCACTCTGGGAGCTTTTTTGATTGTGCCAGGAAACCCAGCTCAGGCTTGCCAGAGCCGAAGGAAGAGCTTGTTGGCTAATAACGGGGAGCTCTGGGGGGGCAGTTGGCCTCAGGTGTGGCTGGAAGCAGGCATTGAGAGGCTGTCCCTGGGGCCTGGGTCCCCCTCCGATTGCTGGGTGGACCCCTCCTTCTTAAACATGCTCTCTCCTGGTGGAGGAGTGGGGATACCATCACTTCACCCACTTTTGTCATCCAGGTTCAGGTCCAGAGACCAGGAGCTAGGCTGCTTGTAATTCAAGCAGAAGTTCTAGAATCCTGCCTCGCTGGTCTTGTGGGCCTCTGTCTTGGGCACCTCTGCCTGGACACTGCCAACGGGAAGACTCGCTCTCTGGGTGACCGGGGCTGAGCTGGACATGAGGTCAGCTCCACTGGAGCTCAGAGACTCAGTGAGGGGGTGGCTACCTCCCAGGCATGGAGGATGGTGAGAGGGAGGGAGGGGTAAGGATGTCCGACAGATAGCAGGTGTTCACTACGCTCAGCTGACATTAGGGTCCCTCGAATTGCTAGGTGTGGTAGAGGGTCCTCACCCCGGGCCGGGGCCTCTCTCCCGCAGGCCTTGCGGGTATCTGGCTGGTCCTGGGGTCCTCCGGGGCACCGAGGTGCCCTCTCCTGCTGGACTCCGGCGGTCCTCCTGGCCAGTGTTGCCTCTTGTTCACTTGGGCCCGCACACTCCTGTTTACTCTGACAGCCATGGTCCTCGTAGGGAGACCCCGTCGGGGCGCGCGGGGGGCTGTGGAGGCTGCTGGCAGCGCAGGAGACCCAGCAGTGCAGAGGTCACTTTCCCCAGGGGCACCACAGTGTGGGACCTGGCCGGTCACTCCCCCTGCCATGCCAGAGTCCTGCTTTGCCCCGTGGCTCAGACTAATTGTGTGAGCAGCACGATGGGAAAAGGAGAGAGAATTGACAACTTACTTCAGGTAATTAGAAACCGCCATTTATATACAAATGGTAGAATCCAAAAATTTAATAATGAACTTTCAAAGTCTCATTTCAGGTACTGCGTGTAATTTTAGTTATAGACTATGCACCCCGTTAAAAGATTCTTTTTTTAACCATTTTAACTTCTAAGGAATAGATCTTTATCATGTCTTGATAATCAAAACTAGAATCTTGTGTCTCTTCAGCACATTTCATTACATTGAACAGATTGCTAAATAAAGTATATTTTTGTTTCATCTTGGAAAGACCGTTCCAGTGTCATGTTTTAAATAAGGAAGAAGCATCGGTATTCAGCACTGAGTCGCTTTTTCTTGAACGCAAGCACAGTTCCGCCTGCCACTCTGAGGATTTGGGGTTGTCATCTGGGGGAGGCAGGCACCCCAGGTGGAGAGCCTAATCCCAGGCAGCGGCTGCTGTGGCTGCCAGCCCACCAGGCCGGCCTTCGGCGGGGCACGGCCCAGGCTTGGAACTGAGAACTCCGCTCGTTTCTCGAGGGCACGTGTTCCCCGTGGGCCGGCCGAGAGGCCATAAGGGGCATGTCACTGGATGACGCCCTGG